AAATTATTTTTTATCAGATCTGTTATTTTTTGAAATCCAACAGAGTAACAAGTTTTATGTCCCAGAACTGTTTTTGGAAAACATTTAGTAGTTCTCCCTTGAGAATCACAAATATGAGAAATATAGTAATTGCCTCCACAGGTTTGCATTATTACAGTTTTATATTATTCTGCTTTATCAGTTCTCTGTATGAGTTCATGTTGATGCATAATCATTTTCTAGTTTTACCTACATAGGCATGATGACAGCACTGGGATTCTAGCTGAAATATATTATATTCTGGGAAATGCAAACATAGAATCCTGGAATTTTAATATTTCTGTTATAGTTAATGTTTATTACAGTGGGGATGGGTTGGCCAGTTTTATATTTATTGTTTAGACAGATGTATCAATTCCCTGCATTTTAGACTACAGCAATTTTTCTGATGATGAATTCAGTCAGGTTAAAGAGTGGTCCTGGAAAAACATCTGTCAAGATTTCTCCCAGTATAGGTTTTAATCTCCCCCCCCCCCCCAAGTAATATATTGCAGCCACAGGTGCACAGACTGAACAGATTTCTTTCTCAAGAGATAGCTTCACCTAGATGAAGCGGTACTAAAGATTTATATGTCTTGTTGCATTTATTATGCACCAATTGGTTAAGTCTTCCAACGACGGTGAATAGTTTTCCATAAAGAAATAGCTTAATGACCTAAAAAGATATCTTTAAATTATTAAAGTGGTTCTCATTAGGCCCGACTGTAGGTTACAGTATTTTTTTGGCATATTTCAGATGACTGATAATGCCCAACCTTCCAGCTGTGACAAGCTTCTTGGAGAAGAGAGATGACTCTTGAGCGCTGCTCTATCATTTGAAATATCTTATGCACGCATGCAAAGAAGGTCATACATTTCCTAGAAGTAGGGAGTACACACTCATAGCATATATGCAGAGGTCTTGGTCTGCATCTGAGGACCTTCAGGAAAGAAGGCAATCAAGAACACACTGCTGCAAACACTACTCCTGGAGCCATACCCAATCAGCCTTACACTCATTCTTCTGATGTCATGCCCGTAGACTTTTGAGGGGCCCTCAGCAAAAGGATAAAAAGGAGAGCATGAACTGGGCAGTGGGCTAAATGAACAGCCCTGATGAGATAAGTGCATCCAGAAGTGCCACAGTTCTCCCATCCTGAGCTAACACAGAAAAAAAATTTGATAGAAATGAACTGAAGTTATATGATCGAGCAAAATACAAGAGCATTTAATATTAAAGTTAAAAAAACAAGCATACACTTACAAACACTTCCCCTCTCCCATCTGGCCTTATTTCCCCACCCCAAGCCCTGATTGAACAGGGTGTCTAATCATTAATTTTATAGTGCCTTGCTGAATCTAACCCTCAGTTAAAACAATATTGAAGTGACCAACAAAATTGATTCAAGTAGGTGCCTAAACAAGAAGTTCCGCAAGCGAATCAACTCTGAGATGCACCTATCACCAAGATTGTACTGAAAGAACACTAACCTGTTTATTGACTTCAGCCATTGACAGTTGCAATACCATCAGCATACAATCTGCTCCACATACAGTAGTCCTTTCCGAGTTTGAAAACAAGGGCCATTGCTTTCTGAAACACTTGATCGAGTTTAAAATCTTCTGCTGGAAAGCAATCATTTTCTAGAGCAGAACATAGAGAATTAAGATAAATAAAAATGAATATAACTTCACAAGTAAGGCCTAAGAATGTCATCTTCTCCCATTAATCTGTGCAACTCCTGATGCTTCTTTCAGTAGAAGTCTGAAGAATAAACTCTCCCCACCAGTGTGCAAAGCCTACATACACCAGCAAAAGTCACCTCGCTAAGGCAGAGCAAACATTGCAGGAAACAGGGAAAAAGTGCTTATATACGACATGTCTTCATAAACACCCCATGTTCTCCTTTTACATCACACTAACATAACAGAGTAAAAGTTATCACACACAAGACAGTCTCGCCTCTGAAACCAGTCAGTCAAAATGCCCCAGGGAAAAATACAAACCTCCCTGGAGATAATCTGCTTTCTGTACTATCTGCATCCACTATACTTTCAGACCAGTCTCTATGGACGTGCTTTAAGCCTAGAAATGTGAGATTTAATAGATGTTCCAAAAATCACTACAAAAAGATATTTCCAAATACTAAATAATTTGGGTTTTTTTTTTTCTTGATCTCTCCTATTTCCTTTAGGAACCACACCACTTCCGGTTGCCGAATCCCACTTCCGGCCTCCCACCGACCACTTCCGGTTTCCCCCAAAAACCCCTCCCGCCCCCCCCCCCCCCCCCCTTTCCCCCCCCCTTTTTTTTTTTTTTTTTTTTTTTTTAAAGAAAAGGTACCTGAGACTCTCATCTTGCTTTCTTTAAACCTATTCTTCCCTGAAACACAGGGCTCAACATTGCATGTAGTACCTAGCAAGAACTAGGTCATCCACTTATAGAACACAAAACTAACCTTTCCCCTTATTGTATTTCACCTCATTCACACACACAACCCACAGCATTTTTTTTTAAACAGGCATAACCATGAAGAACAAACAAGCACAGGAGAGAGGTGAGGAATACAGGAGACTTCTCATAACAAGCAAGACAGTAACAGCAGCTGCAATAGTTTATTTTCCAAGTTGCTTGCAAGGGATGACTTGCTTCATTTTATTTCTGCTTACACTGATGTGAACAAGTCATGCAGGCCATAGGGGACAGGACAGTTGACCAGGTGCAAGTCAGTGTGGGGCAGACATAATCTCTCCTGATAGCTTTGCCTGTCCTGCTACAGGCTCTTGCCCTCTCTCGAGAATATAGTCTACAGTACTTGGCTTCTGAAACTGTGCTGAACTTGGCTTTCTCCCAGGTATGTTTGATTTGTGTTTTCACAGGGCTGTAGGGCAACGTTTATGCTGGGGATCTGGATACCGATTTTACTCCTGTTAGATTTAAGAACATAACCTTGTTGGAATTCAGTTATTGATTCTAATGCAGCATGTTCTAAATATAAAATCTTTTGAGAAAGTTGAGTTTCGTGTATATCAGTAAGAGCTGATATACAGCTCTTACTGTAGAGCTCGTAGTTACTCTATATAATTAAGCAGGCAAGCATAAATTGGCCCTGCCTTCGTTTCTCCAGTTTGTATTTCTTATGCTAGTTCTTTGGCTTTCTAGTAGCGCGATTTGATGTGTGTTTGAATTAAAAATAATGCTTGTAATGGAGTTCAGTTGTATTGTTTGTTCTGAGCTGGCAGAGTCCTGGTTGTCAGCACTGACTGGAGTGGAGGAAACCATGCCTAATGACTTCAGGTGGTAGCTCATTTCTACTAATAAGTTTCAATGTAACTCGGGCGGGAGGAGGCAGCGTGCTGGGACGTTAGCTTGGCGTTAGCAGCTGGGCTCCGAGGGGAGGAGGAGGGAGCAGGGGGCTGCAGTGGGGCTGCCGGGCACCCGCACGGCTCAGTTGCCGGAGTTGTGTTTCCTTAAGGAATTAAGCTAAATAACCTCGAGGAAGTTTTTAATTAAACTGGTCTGGCAGTCTGCGTTGGTGAGATATCTTGCAAGTCAGAAAGCTACAGGTGGGGTTAAAATTTGGCCTCAGAAGAAACATAGCTGTATGTAGGACTTGGCCGCAGTATCACTGTGGTGGCGTGTCATATTGCTGAATGAATGAAAGAGTGCAACTACGGAGAGCTTTTTTGTGCCTTGGTGATGTCCGTGGAAAACCTGGGTGGTTCCCAAGCAAAAAATTCAGTCTTTGATCCTGAGACCTGCAGACTGCTAGCTTAGCAAAATCTGTCAGGGCTCTCAAACATAAAGCTATTTCTACACGCTGTGTGTAATTAAAGATATGTTTTCCCAAAAGGCTTAAACTAATGAGAATCTGTCCTGGGGCTGGAAGGGATGATTCTGTTCTCTGTTGTGTATCTCGGCTCCCGCTGTATTAGCGCAGGAACCCAATTTACTTGAAAACTGGTTGAATACAGTAAAGTAGTAAGTTGTGGACATGCACACTTTTTTTCTAGTTGAAAGTTAGCTGTTTTGCTGTTAGAGGGGAACTACAGAGGCTCTGTCAGCAGTTGGGTTGGCTTAAATCATGAAACTGTATTTTCGTGTTCTGTATGTATTCTCATTTACGTTGTGTGGCCCTGATCAGCTCTGCTTTTAATTAAACAAATACTATATTTTAAAGAGACACACTAGAGAAGAGAATTTGAAGGTAGTGATGCATCGTTTGTTGTCTCTTTGTTGGAAATTGAGCAGTTCTATGTGTGACTCTTCTGATGTGTACAGTGCCTTAATCTCCCGGCACTTTTTTTGTCTTAGTGCTGATTGTCATAATGGCACAAAATTTGCCATTATTGCTGAAGTCAGTAGAGACAGCTTTGAACGTATATAAGCGTTCTAGTTAATATTTTGATTGATAGAATTACATATTAAATCTATATACGCTGAGCTTAAATACTGCTTTTGTGTTCTTTTTAAATATGGTATTATAGCAAAGTTTGATTTATGCCGCAAATACTTTTATCTTTCTTTATGCAAATGTGTAACGATTGCTTTTTCAAACTTTATACGTAGGTATATAGGTCTTCATCCTGTAGAAGACGTTGATACCCTGATTTATTCCCTTGAAAATGAAGCAAGATTCTATTAGAAATGCTGCTTACACTGTGGATTGTGAAGATTATGTGCACGTGGTAAAATTCAATCCATTTGATTGTGGAGATGCATGTTCGCTAATCGCATATGGTGGCAATAATTACGTAGTAGTTGGGACTTGCAGATTTCAGGTTAGTTTGTGTTATTGCTGAGATTTTTATTAGTTGCCTCCTGAAACTTACTTTGCCAGCACCTCTGGTGCACAAAGACCCAAGCTGCTTTCCTGTTTCCCCTCACTCCATTTTACCAGGCAGTCTATTGACTTAATGAGTCTAGAGTACTTATTCTCTGAGAAAATATATATTTTTGTATATATATATTTTCTACAAGTTGGTTATAACTAAATATATCACTGTGATCTCAGTGAGAATGGTGATCTCACTGTGAGATCAACATTCTGCTGGTATAAAGTTCTTTTTCAATAGATTGCAATGAAACAGTAGTAGGCAATCCCATCTGTATCATCTCTTGGAAATGTTGCTGATTGCTACCTAGTAACTTAGGTGGACAGCTTTGAAATGTATAGCCTAAGTTTTGCTGTTCATTGTGCAAACTATTCTTTTTTGTCACAATCAGCTCCTTTTTTTGCACGCATATATTGTTTTCTGTATATATGCTATTTAGATTTAACTCTCTTCTAAGACTTTCAGCTTGTCTGAAAAACAACAAAGTTTATAACTATTTTGAAGCTATAATTAACATTCCTTAAAAGAAAAACTTAATATAGCAAAGACTGTGGAAAGTAATTACCTACCGTATTTTTTGTTTTCCAGCCATTTTTTGCCTTTTTTTTTCCTTTGGATCTCTCTACAGATTGTTAGAAACTAAGATATGTTTTCTTACCTCATCATTTTTTAGAATCATGTCATGGAAGTTTTTACATCAAAAAAAAGAATTAGACAGGATAAAAATATATAGTACACAGTATTAATTTTATGAGAATTTTTTTGCCTAGGTGCTTGAAATTCAATAGGAGAACGTTCTTATCTTTGGAATTTACTTCTAAGATTTTTTTTCTTGAACTCCCTTCTCTATTGTACAGTATTATTTTTGCTCTTAAATATCTGACGTAACAGTGTAGCTAGTCTATTATCATTTTTTCTTAAAATATTCTGGTTAGAAATTTTCTGAAAGGTACCTAATGCTAACAAAAAATCCCTATTGTGCTCTGTATTGTTCTCTGTGATGTTTTTGGAGTAAGTCTTGAAGGGGACATAATCTAAAACTCTTGACAGCCACTGGTACAAGGTATTTTTTCCTGTAGTTCTCATAACTTCTCTTTCTCTCCACGTTTGGAGTTGTTGTTTGGGGGTTTTTTCCTACTTCTTTTTTTTCCAAAGTAGGGGAAGAAAATGCTATTCTGTCCTTCCCTTTTCAGGAGCATTGAAAACCTCGGGATAATTTCATGCTTCCTCAGTTAGGTCCCACCTGGCTTCTACTTTATCCACAGAGAATATGGAGGGGTTCTTTACATCAAAGCAGAATCATTACCTTAAATTTTTAGAGGTATCCTTCGGTTACTTTCTCACAAGCTTTTCAGTAGACATTGCCCTTTGAAGGAATATAAACTTTTTTAGAGGTCACCTGCTTCATCGAGTCCCAACTCTTGTCTCGTTTTTGCCACCATCCAGTGTGCTCGCTTCTGGAGAGAATAGACGAGGCAGTAGGTGCAGGCAAGTTAGATGACAGAGTATATGTTTCTACCCCTTGTTGTTTGAAAAGTGATATTCTGGAAGGGACAGAATTATTCCATAATGCAAAATGAACTTGGAGAGAGGATAGACTAAATGACATGCTTGGTTTTGTTCTCATTATGTCTTTCAGTTGCAGTGTGTATTTTCTTACCATTCTGTTATGAATGGCTTTAATTATATCTAAGTAGATATTACTTGCCCAAAGGATGGGCTCACTGTCTGTGTAGCTTGATTTTCTGACTTCTGTCCTCAGCATTGTACTGTGGCCTGAGACCAGCAATCATTTCATGTCTTTTTAAGCGTTTACATATTTTCAAGTAAGTACTTTCTTTATGTTCCAAGTTTTTAGTGTGAAAGGGTTACAATCTAAAAACAACAACAACAAACAAGCAAACAAAAAACCGGTAAGTCTAGCTTAAAAGCCTTTCAATTTCATATCAGTCTGAATTGTTAGCAGTTATAAAGACACTGTTCTGGATTAGCTCACTATAATATATCCTGTAGGAGGAGGATGCTGAAGTGGAGGGGATGCAGTATAAGACACTAAGAACGTTTCATCATGGAATCCGAGTTGATGCCATAGCATGGAGTCCAGAAACTAGACTTGATGCTTTACCTCCCCAGTTAAGGTATTTAAACGAGACGAGTACAACAAATCCTCATCTCTTATCTGTTTGCCCTGATTCCTTAATATTGAATTAAGTTTAAAGCCTTTGGGTGAAATCTAGCTTGGTAGAAATCACTGGCACAGTCTCTGATCACATCACTAGAACAACAATTTCATTCTTAAGGTCATCCTTGTTTTTTGTCCTATCACCTCATCTCCCAGTTGAATTTGGAGGGGAAAAAAATAGTATTTACCACCGGTTCATTATTTTAATGGTACTAAAATATAGTTTGTCCTTTCTTTATATGTCTGTCAAGAAAGAACTCTTAGGAACTTTACTGTGGATGAAGCTGTCATAATGTCCTGTCCCTTATAAAGTTACATGTAACGTTCAATGTAGTTTATGCTGTGTTTAGGTGCAAGTCAAATGCAATTTGTGAGACCAGTTGAGCTGTAAACCTAGAAACAAGGCCAACTGTTGAATTGAACAAGAATTGAAGTGTTCTCAATAGCTTGTAAGCCTCTTCAAAATTCTGATAGTTGTTTACTGTAGCAAGCTACATATTTGTACAGTCTTTTGTTTAAAATATATTAAAAACTGGTTTATGGACTTATGTTTAGGTATCTTAAAACACTACTAATGAGGTGAAATGGCCTCCAAGGTAAGTTTCAGTGGCAGCTATGAGACTTTTCTGTTAATTATAGTTGATTCAGACTTAGCTTTGTAAAAAAAAGTTTGTGTTTCTTTCCTTTAAAAAGTGTTCTTGCCATTCACACATCCTGCGCTATACATAAGCTCCAGTTACAATTTTTGGGTGCTTGCTGCCCAAACAATTAGATAAATCAGAAGATAAATTAGAAATTTTATCAAAATACTGATTTCCTCCTGCATGTCACTTTTCATCTTTAACTCGGTGTGGAAATTTGATAAGGGGGCTACTGTGTCAGTGTTGGTTGACTAAAGAGCTTTTCTGTGTCCCATGATTCTAGATTTGGTACTGCAGCTTCTGATAGGAAGATAAGGCTATTTACTTCAGACCTTCAGGATAAGAATGAATATAAGGTAAGAGGACTTGTTGTTGTTGTTTAATCTTTTACTGTTCACATTAAACAACTAAGCTGATTTAAGATATTTCTTCAGTCTTTAGTGGAGTCTAATTGTTAACTGCCCATCTGTCCTATTTTGCCCACTCTTCTGCATGAGATAGATCATAGAAGTATTGCAGATCCTACATTTATCGTCTCCATGGAAGACTGTTGTATTGTATATGCTTTTCTGTCATTAAAAGTGGGAATAACCATAATAATCTGCTATATAGTCTTTTGTTTAAAAAAGTACTTGGGCAACAATTTAACCCAATTTTGGAAAAGCAAGCATAGGCCTATGCATGGTCTAAAGTATACTCATAAACAGGATATTTTACAGATGAATTTCAAGCACCATGGTAGAAAAGGTTGTGTTGCATATGGAAACCTGTAAAACTTCATAGACTCTTTTTAACAACCAGGCTTGATTATTGCGATCCTCTATGAGGAAAGAATATTTAGCAAGTTATTTCTGTCACCATGGATGTGGAAGTTGCAAGGAAAATCTTTCATACAGTAGCAAATTTAAAGAAGGAATATTGAATTTAACTCATATTAAAGCCAGCTACAGAAAACATGCCCATAGGCTGTCAGTTGTTTATTTCTGAAGCAGAAATAAAGTAAATGTCTACTTTAAATACAATTTCCTTTTCCTCTTCTTTCAGTACGGATGGTAGTATTCTTAAATCAGTAATATAAAAGATATGAGGTCTAGATGCTGCCTCCACTTTATAAACTGAAGATTTGTTTTGTTTTTAAACATCTGTATCTTTTTAACGCCTATGTCACTCTCATCAATAACTTGAACATGTACATATTCTTCAAAATTCTGCCTTTGAAACAATATCCTAATCCAAGTACTAATATTAATTATATAGTCATGTTAACCAGTTTGAATTTTTGTTGAGGTCTCAGCCAGGAACGAGCAAGTATTAACTATACTTTAAACAACAACAGCAACAAAAAAAAGTAGGGGAGAGAGCTCCTTCTCGTTTAGTGCTTTGGGGTATGATAGAACCTCTGTCAGTGAGATTTTTTTTATGTAGTATAAAGGGGAAGAGATTTGACATTCCATTGTGTTTTGGTAATGTGTGTTGTTTTGGTAATGCGTGTTAGTAAGACAATAATATCCGTCATACAGAAAGTAAATGAGCCACAGATGTCACTTATGCAGTCGTACTGATAGTGGAGTGAATAAAGCCATGGCCTAAGAAGTAGAGATGGATGTTACTGGAAAATAGAACATCTTTCTTTAGAGAAAACGCTTTCTTTGTTACTTCATACATTCTCCTACCCATTTCCTACTTTCATGCTTGGTCCATCATCTAGTATGGCTTTGTCACCCAGGCAATGGGATAACTGACATAGTTGAAAACAACTTTGGCACTTCTAGCAAAATATTTCTGTAAGATTTTAACATTGTTTGCTTGTGAAATGGTATCTAAATCACTCCTTACCAAAGCGATCTATTTATATAATACTGCAATTTTTTTTTGTTTGTTATTGCGGATAGTTGTGACTCAAATCTTTTAAGTTTCTTGTCACACATTTTTAAAAAGTTAATATTCCTGTTATGTCTATAGCAATTTGAGAAATTTATAGATCTATCAATAAGCTTACAGAAGAAAAAGAATGAATGAATTCCTTAATGACAATGGAGAGGATATTTGGTTAATGAATGGAAATAATGTGCAAGAACTTGATGATACAGGCTCTAAATTCAGCTAGCAAGTTCTTTATTTTTTTTGGTTTTGGATTCATGAGCAGCCTGATGGAATGTCTGCTAAAATCAATGAGAAGTCTGTTGACTTCAGTGGACCATGATGCCATGGATGAGTGTTGTTCTTCCCTAGTTGCAATAAACATGAAAGCTGTTAATTATTTTTCTTGGGTGCTAATTAATGACCAACAAATTTGTGTGGCTTTGCCTAAAATTGAAAATAATAACAAGGATAGTTTATAATTTCCATACCTCTTACTGTTCCCCCATCATCTGGTCTGTAGGAGAAGGTACTCTTCTGCACCTTCCAGAGCAGACTTCTCTTCATGCCTATACCAGCTTTCAGACTCCTGCACATCAGCGTGAGAAACAGCCCAGACTAAGACTAGAAATTCTCAAGAGATCTGCCATCCTGCTCAATAGGAACTCGTTGCTTCCAGAGAAATAATTAGTATTAAAGCATCACACAAGCGCACCTTTGATAATTCATGAATTTAAGCTTTTAAAATACAAGTTCAAATAAGCAAGCTTATTCTAATGAAGAAATCTAGTAAGCTGATTATTATTAAGTTATTATTTTAAGTGCCTGTTGTTTGTAATTGCATTCTAATCACTTTGAATATACTTGATGAGACAGTTCTTTTCTAGTTCATTGTCAATATATGATCGAGAAGAGCAAAGAGGGCAACTCAACAGCACAGTCTACTCAATGCTGTTTTTTCATATTGGGATTTCTGTGATGGGTTACTATTTTCCCAGTTTGGACAAGGTTTATTATGCAGTAGCTTTGATTAGATACCTAGAAATAAGTTTGAAATGCTGCTTTTCCTTTAAGGTGACAATTATTTTTCATATGAAAAGGTTCTTCAGCAAATAGGTTATTCCACCTTTAGGACTTCTTCCTGTCTGAAATGCTGTTACTTGCAATTATGAACTTCTACTGCAAAAGCAAGTTCATTGCATAACACCAAAGAATTTTTTTTTTAATGATAGGGAGTGTGCACAGAGACTACAGATGATGTATTAATACAACACATATTGGACACAAGAATGTGGTATTTAGGCTGAGCAGCCTCAGCTGTATGTACGAGCAATTTAGGAGTTATTTTGCCCCAGAAGGAAACAAACAATCACAATATCTTAATTATTCAACTCCAGTTGATACGAATAACTTACTGAAAGTGTCTGTTGAAGCAGATAAAAGTATCAGAGTTTGATTTTTGTCAACTGAAGATATCATGGAGGAGCAGTGCTTCTCCATTTTTGAACTATGGAAGACTAAAGATCATTTGATGCTTATGCAGGACCGATGAGAAGTTTCGGCTCTTGGCTTTGTTCATGCCGAGTCTATCACTGGACTTAGTCTATGAACTTCATTCAAGGTGCACTGAGACTAAGGAAAAAGTAAAAATCCATACTGTTAATGAATCAGGTTTAATATTAAAAATAACGAGAAAACGGCTAGAAAATATGTACTTAATGGTAAGCTCCCTTTAGTGAAAGGGAAGAATGTAGACTAGTCTGCTTATACTGATGAAAATGATATTTTTGAGATCTCTTCTGGGTTTTTTTTGGCAAAAAATGGGGAAAAGAATATCTCAGGGTAGTCATCTTAAATTTGTTATAGCTGGATGATCATTGTCCTATATTCTTTTTGACAAGAAAAAAGTAAAACCTCACTCAGGTCTAAAATATTTGCAAATCTCAGGTGTTCACAACTTCTCAGTTAGCTATGTTGAATTGACTTAATAAATAAGCTTGATACACTAGTTTCCTAGTAACATGCAATTGGAACCTCAGGGAAAAACTATTTCATAAGCCTGGGTTTGAAATTCATGATGAACACATGGATGACTGGTCCATTGTGCAGTGAACACTCTATACATGGGATTTTCAGAAGTACAAAATGTTCAAACACAACTGAAGGAAGTATGTGACTACAGTTAAAATGTAATCTCTGAACATTTTGTCTTTTATAGTAAACAATTAGAATGTGTTACTTCTGGAGGGAAGTAGAAAGTAATCTCACAGTTTTCTCAGTGGAAAAACTGTCTTGATATAATTATCATCAATGAACTTCAAGCATACTGAGCTTTCCATGTTGTCAACATGACTAATCCAAAATTCATGGGTTGGATCAAGCCCAGAACAAACAAAAGGTAAAATATGACTGATAGATCTTCCTGAAATCTTTTCTTCTTTTTGAGGTTTTCATTTGGAAATGTGTTTTGGCTGCTTTCTCCCTTCTCCTGCTTCAAATTTTGTTTAATCGAAAGCATATTTCATCAGAACGGTACAAGTAAAATGAGGCAAGATGTTTGAATTCAGAATGCTGAAAACTTTCAGAAGGCTTGCATTTATGTCTAAATAGTTTAGTGTTATTTAAGGATGGATTAGTTTTAGTGTGATCCACTATGTTTTAATAAAATCAATAGCTATTGGAAAAAATTAGGCTGGCTGCTGAAAATGTTTCTATATTCAATTGACTAGGCTGTCATAAAATTTTTAGAGAAGGGTCTAAACTACCGTGCGTGCATTACAAATTAGTTTTGGTTAGTGGAGTAACTCTTTTGAGGAACAAATATTCTTAGAGAGTAGATCAAAGAGAGTATTCTTAGAGAGTAGCTTTTCCTTTGAAAAAGCTGCGAAAGTGGTTATTTTCATTCCACCTTGTTTTTCTCCGCAACCTCTCCACGTCATGCTTTTATCCAGATGATGTTTTCCTCTTCTTTTTCTGATGCCTTGCTGGCAAAACAAGAGCAGCCGTACCTTGAGACTTAATCTGTGTGACTGAAGGGTATAGTACAGTAGCAGATATAACAGCTATGTATGCATATTTGGTTTTCTGTTATAAAGTGCATAGTTTTCTGTCATAAACATCCGTAGATGTTGAATCTAAGGATCAATACATGATTTGTCTCATTAACAACAACTGCTATCTTAACTAGATACAAATTTTCTGATAAGACTAGAGATGATCTAATCTTACCTAGGCTCCATGTGAACGAATTTTGAAGTACTTCAAATTTTGACTGAACCCTAAATGAGAAGAGTTTTGCGTGCTTGCTTAATGCTAAACGTGTGTAAGTTCTGTAATTCAGTTTTAGTTTTTGAAGTTACTTTAAGCCTCCAAAGATTACTGATATCTGTAGATAAATATAAAGTACTTACATGGAATTGATACTAAAAAAAAAAAAAATTGATATTTTGGGCAAGATAGTTGAAAAGCCTTGAAAATATATATATAAAAAAATCTATCCAACTTTTAGTTTTTACTAGAAACTGTGGGACTCCATTCAGGAAAGCTGTATTGTTAAGTTGGGTTTTGTTATGGATAAATTTCAGTATTTTGAAACAAAAACATCATGATTAATAAATTTCAATCCAGAACAATAATGTTCACTTTGAAATGACTTCATGTTTACTGATACAACTGTAAAGGTTTGCTTTTTGACTGACAGTTCATATGTATATTCACGCTATGAGTGCTTATGTCCTGTTATTTGAGAATGGATAATCGTAACTTCCCAGTAAAAAAGTGTATGCTATACTATGTTTTCCTTCATCTCTAGTACAAGAGCATATAAAGCAGAGAGCACAAAGCACGATGTCTGCTCCTCTCAAATGCTTAAAAGAAATTGTGCTTCATTGCTGAAGAGAAGGATTTTATATGGCTTGCTTGTTGTTTACATACTGTTGCTTTCTCAGTTTTAATTTTCTTAAAGGTTTTAGTATGCATCATCCTCTGTGTTTCATCTCCTTTCACTGACACTTTTTTCAGTTTTTTCTGAAAGGTAGCCTTTTGGTCCTTAGTTATCTTTAATGGACATCTCTTGAGCAATGTGTGTGCTGGCTGCTTGGAGAAAGGGCATATACCAAACAAGTGACTGGTTTATTGCTCCCTCAGGAAAAAACACTCCTGTGGCTTGCAGTAATCCCCAGTAAGAACATACATGAGCACTATCATTCGGAGATGAGAGTTACTAGCCAGTAATCGGAGTTCTTTAAGCTGTGTGAACCATGTGTACATTCACTTCCTGCCTGTTTTCCTCTTTCTAAGATTTATCCTCTATCTTAAAAATTCTGTGGCTGAAAGGAAGATGGAACAGTTCTGCTGTGATCCACTTAGTGTCAGGCAAGAAAATTAATCTGAGTTCTATGGGAATTACAAGGAATAGCAGGTCTGTTCACCCACAGTGTGAATGTAAACATGAACTAGACCTCTTAAAGAGCTTCAGTTACTGGTAAATATCTCTTTTTTTTTTTGTTTTTTTTCCCTCGCATGTAAAATGATAGCTTCATTTCACACTTATACATCTTTCCTTTAATGGATCTATTAAATACGTTGCAGACTGTTGGAACAGTCAGCTCTGTTACTTTTATCTTAATGTTAGGAATTATTGTATTTCTTTTTTCTGGTTGACAGACATTTGATGGCCACTCAGATTACATTAATGATCTGGTGTTTGCTCCCAAAGAAGGTCAGGAAGTTGCAAGTGTGAGTGACGATCATACCTGCAGGTATGTATTTTGTTCAAAATATCACTGAAATAATGCTGTAGAGTTTTTTGTGTTTTCTAGTGGGTCTTTATTTGAATTCATTGTTTGGTTGTTGTTTTGCTAGATGTGGACCCCCCCCCCCATGGGCAACTTCTTGAACTAATTAGAATAGTTTTCTTTTCATAATTTCCATCTTGGAATTACATGCAATACCATTTCCCTCTGGTTGGGACAGAAATAAGAGGCCCGAGAATAGGAGAGACAGGACACGTGTAGCTCAGCACTGTGACCTGTACAGACTTTCTGTTCTGTCATCAGATAAGTCAAGTTCAAAACCATATACCCATGTGAACTTGTTAGCTTACCCAAATTTATTAGCCTTACTAGGAGATTATATAGCCTAAGAATATTACCATACTAATACAGTGATATTTAAGCAATATTTAAGTTCTGTTTGCAAATGAAAATAAAGGGGAAATATGGTTAAATACTTTGGAAAATATCGATTAAAGTATTTTAGGACAGGAAGTTGCTTTTTTGTGTCAAAAGGTTCCCCCATCCTCCTCGTAGTGCATATGAATCTATAGAGCTGCTATTCTTCATCCCTACAGTGCAGCTCACAGTTGGGGAGAGCAGGGGAGCCGCTGTGCAGCGTTAGCAAGTCATTGTAATAGTGAGATACTTTTTTGAAAGTGTCGCCTTTGACTTTTCTTTGAGATAGCTGGGATAACTGAAAATTTGGCTCAATTAACGAACTATTTTAGTTTTTCTGTGATTATGTGGGTTATATATTTGCTCTTTGAAGTTACCAGCTCATAAATATATAAACAAATGTTATATAAATAAACAGGTAATGCTTAGAAAAAACTTTATTTTTTTAAGATGAGCTTAAAAAAAAGAAGAAGAAAGGAAAAGCTCTTCTATTTGAAGCAAGCTTCTACCTGCTAAGAGAGAAGAGAAGAGCTTGGGGATGATTGCTCTGTGTATGAGATTTTTCTAATGGACAGATCATCAGCTGGTATAAATCACAATCTAGCAGCTTTAGTTGAGCTACACTATCTTAAATGAATTGAAAATCTGAAAAGCCTGTGATTTTTAACACTCCCAGGGAACTCAGAAATATTACTTTGACCAGTAGGCAGACTTTCTGTAGCTGTCCTGTCTCTCTTCCCAACAAAATCATTAGGAATGAATAGTAGAAATGTGCAATTTATTCCAACTTTGTTCTGATTTATATCCTATCCTTGATTTCTTCATCAAATCTAAACTAATACTGTATGTTTGTTTAGCAAAGAGCTGTTTCAGAGGTTTTTTTTTTTTTTATGAAATGCTCAGTGTTCATGGGATGAAAGAGATCTGTTTTAAAGCAATAGTCTACTTGATATTAAATTAAAAGGAAATGAAAATGATATAATTAAGGTATGCTATCAAGATTTGAACTTAGTAACTTTGAAAAACGTTTTATGCAGTAAACCATAAAGTCTTTGGTTAAAAGCCATGGGAAATAAATGGGATTTTTTTTGGCTACTTGAGTTCTTATTTTTTCCATTCATGCATGTGGAGCATGAAGACTTTTTTATTGAATTTAAAGGTTACACTTTCAAAGCTAATGGAAAATGCATTCCCTGGGACTTACCAAAATCATTCCTTACTTACTGTGTAATTTGCTTCAGCAGTAATGTAAGAAGAGGAATAATTTTTCTGTCTGTACTGAATTTCTATCCTGAAATTTTTCTCAGAATACATCATCTATTAATTCGTTTGGAATGAAGTACTTGAACAATTAGTACAAGAGTACACATTTTTCAGCATTTGCATACTGTTCTGTTAGAGTTTCACTTTTAGGTCTTAAAAATGACACAGTTAATATCTCAGCGTATAGATCTCACATATACAAACATCTTTAGATATTTCCTAGTTTTCACTTGCCAGTAAGGTTAGTGGAGATATCTAAAGGAACTGGTAATGGATTGCCTTAATCTAGGTTAATTCATTTTCAATTTTCATGCATTAAACAATATGGCCACAAGCTTCTGCAACGGTGACATCTCAAACCTGGGTCTGGTCATTTCTTGGATGGAAGACAGTGTAGGTTGGATACTGCATGAAGAGAACATGGTAATATATTCAAAGATGTTTTTCCCCTTTAAAATGTTACTATGGAGTTCAGCATTTTTGTCCCAAGGATGGCTGTATTCCAAGATGGATGAAGCTGTTCACAAGCATATAGTTAATACATCTTTGGCAGGATACTGTTCTTTCACAATTTTTTTTTTTTTTAATACTAGATTATAAAGTAAACTGGTATTGAAGGATAGTTGCCTGTATTTGACGTTTGTATGTATTTCAAGATTGCTTTAATCTTTCATAAAAATTGTAGAGAAAATTATTTTTAAAGTTTGATTGCAAAATTTAAGAGAGAAAAACTGCTGTTAAATTATTAGTTTAACAGAATTTTGAATCAGTTTAGTGATGTCGTGCATGTACAACATGCAGTAAAATTAAAATAAATATAAATAAAGCTAAACCATGTGTAAATATAAATAAAGGTCATCATGTGGTGTGCATAAATAATTCAAATTTAGGATATTTGTATGTTTCTGCTGAGAACCAGATAGGGTCATAGCAGTAAACAACAGGAAATTTGCTCTTGAATCTTAATATACCTGGAAGTAGGCAAGCAAATGACTTCAGTTTCAAAAAAAAAACAAGTCGATTTGAAACAGTGCTCAAATTTTTTTTTCCATGATATAACTCTAATTACTTCTTTGTTTCAGTTGCACAGAAATACTTTATAGATTATTTTGAAACTGAAGTCATTTGCTTGCCTACTTCCTGGTATCTTAAGAGCATGTTTAATGAATAAGAAAAGATCTTTTACAGTAGCTTAAAGGAATGTTTCATATAATTTTTTAAAACGTTGTTGCAGCATTACACACATCTTTGAACTCCTGCATTAAGTGTAGGAACACATGCATACCGCTCTGCTAATGGAACTGCGTTTGCAACTCCCTGAGCACCACTCTCTAAAAGATTTTGTTGTTGGCTCTCTTCATTATGATTTGGAAGCACAATATAGGAGGCTGCAGGGATTCAGATGTACAAATCATTTTGTTCTGAAATAAAGCCTCTGCAAAAAGAACATAGGAGATGTTTGGAAAACAGCATGAGCTTAACAGACACCCCTCAGCTGTTTGTAGTTCTTGCCACTATCTAATGTTGCTTGAATTATTTCCTGTAAAATATCCTGTTTAAAAATCACTACTCTCCTACTTGTGCTAAAAAATTAACCTCTGGTGGCTAAGGTGCAGGCTATCCTGACCAGACTGCTGAGAAGGGACTTGAATCTAATTGATACCACCTCATACCCCACCCTCCTATTGAACTAAAATTTTTTTGCTGTCAGTGTCAGGCCCTTAGTAGTGGTAGCATGGGACTCTGTCATGGTCACCAGGTCATCAAGTGCTGGATTGGCTCCTCTCTCTTTTTTAAAGCAAGCTGAGAAGGATTCACCTCTGTTTTTATTATTATTTATTTATTATTATTTCTCGAACTACATCTTACTCTCACTTTCTCTCTTTTTTTATGTAACAGAAAAGAATACACAGTTGACACATTTGCTGCTTCATCTGAATGTGGTCGCTCTTTGTTTCCTTTCTGAGTTCGCTTAATGACTGTTGAGTGACTTATGCCATGGCTCATGATGCTTCATTTAAAAAAAAGGACTTTGAATTTATTTATCAGTCACTGTCAATTTCAGTCTTCTCTGTGTCATGTATCACAAATGCCAGTCCATCAGAAGGTTAGATTTGCTCCGTGGACAGTGTTTGATATAGCGGGAAATTAAATTAACTAGAGTCCCAAAATTTACTGTAGTGGGTTTTGTCTTTTTTTAGGGATTTTTTTCACCTGTACTGTATTTGTTTGGATGCTACTCTCTTGTCTTGGTTATTTTGTTTAGATCTCTCTATTTCTAGACAATATGAATGAAAGCAAATGGTGACTCTTGTTCCTTATTTTGTCGTGTGTTCTTTAATTCAGTGCCAGCACATGTTGCTTTTGGGTGTTACCTTGATAGTTCAATGAATGTTTCGGTCTTTGGCCGTGTTAACAAGCTGCCGTTCTCATTGCTGCCTCCAAAATTCTATCTTATTATTATCTTCCCCTTCTTAGCAATTTTTGCCAAAATTACCAAAAAAAGTATCTTATTTCATGTTATTATATCTTTAATTTGTTTGTTGTGATATAATTCCCCAGTATCTCATCATGTAAGAAATGTCATATCAAAATATTTACCCTTTCTTAGGAATGCTAATTACATCTGTCAAGCTAGTTACACATTGTAATTGATTAAAATAAAGGAGGGCTTTGGATTATTTTGAGAATCCAGTCTTTGACTTTGCATGCTTTGTGTAGGCATCCTTGTATGTCCCCTGAGTGCAGTCTTATACTCACGCGTTAACCAGTCTCCTGCTACGGTATCCAGCAAACTTTAAAGAAGGAAACTCCAAAAAATCACTTTCTGCATCAAATGTTTGGATTGTTATTTCAGTCTCGTCTTAAGTGTGGATGAATAAGATTTTAATTAAGAAGTCTTCAAAATATTCAGATAAATTTATGAAATGGTGGCTATTTCCTGTGCAACGTGTTATGACTTATGTTGAGGGTCACGCAATCCTAGAAGTTAATCTAGCCTATAAATTGTTATAAATTGAAATCATTTCATTAGATTTGTTTGGCAGTTACCTTATATTTTAGAAGCTCATTGGCAGAATTGAAGCTGAGTTGCTCAATAATGGTCATCTCAGAGGCATTTAGCTTTAGGTCTACATTAGGAACAGTAAGCTGATAGATACCTCAGGCAGCTAATTTCTTCCTTGGTTGGAAGGCCACAACTGAAGCTTTACATTGTTGCAGAAAAATACTGTTTAGTCATTGGCTTTGTTTCAGACAACTTTAACGATATTTCAGTGGTAGTAGTATTTGTATAGTCCCTGCAATGCCTATTAGTGACAAACAGT